TGTTTCCATGGTGACAGTTTGGAGATGTCAAACTTGGTTCTCACTGGGGAATAGTGATGACTGAAGGTGTGAGTGATATCACACCTTCAGTCATATATGTGACATCATATGAACAACTCTTGCCCTGTCAAAGACAATTATAATGGAGAATGTGTGCGTGAGTAGTTGTTGGTTTGGCATGTGCTAACTGCTCCCCTGGTGGTTTTTGAAGTATCACCTGAGTCCTGGTCCGGATGTCAGGTTGTATCTATTGTAACTGTTCTGAGTTGTGTGGTAGAAGACAGAAAGTAGCACTGCTCTTTCCTGGGTGTCACCTTTTACCTGTGATCAATGGGTCATTAGTCAAATTAGCAAGTTAGAGCTGAGAGACCTGCTGGCCTGTGTGGTGTGGAAGAGCATGATCACACAGGAATTTGATGCTGCAGGTGGAGGTGTCTGCTGTGGAGATTTTCAGCAAGTTCAAATGTCTGTGATTGTACTTCTGTTCCATACATGTTTTTATGCCCCTGCGCTGGCGACAGTGAGAGCGAGAGGCATATGGTTTTTGAGGTTGTCTGTACATACGTCCGCCTGTCCCATTCTTATGGACACAATATCTCAGTAACACCGTGACAGAACTTCTTCAAATTTGGCACAAACGTTCACGTCAGTGTGACCTCCTCACAAAACATTTTTTAACCATTACTCCAGACTTCACAGCAATTATGACAAAAAAAAATCACAGAAATGGTTCATATTTTCTGTGACTGGATAAACAGGGAGGTAACCTGAAACTAGTCTGAGTGGAGGAGGCAGAGGACCAGGAGCAGGTGATACTAGTTTTTATTACAGCAGCTGTAGCTGCTCCAGCCACACAGGTGTGAGCCTCATGTGGAGGAGCCTCATGGTTCAGGGGATGTGAGGTGACCATATGAGTTACTCAGACCAGTGTAAACAAAGTTTTCTTATGTTTCTATGATGAGATGGGATGTAAAAAGTAAGGTCAGGAAGACAATCTAAATAATACAACGCTGTATGTTAAGGTTTCACTGATCAGGTGATTTGTTAGTTTCTAAAATATCCATCAGTCTGAATTTTTGTACGGGCCATCTGACATTTTAAAAAATGTATTTATTGATTATCTTTATTTTATTCTCATGTAAATTTTGTGAGAAGCTGCTGCACCTGTTAGATCATAATGCTTTTAACATTCACACTATTTTTTTTTTATATGATTCTCTTGTTTATACCTGCAGTGCATTTGGAATTTATCCAATCAAACTTTTCAATCAGACTTTTAGTCTTGAATCTAACTGTAGTGATATAACAGGGGTCTGTGTGGACCCTCGTGGCCCTGCACATGTGGAAACCATGAATTGGCCTTAATTCCAGGCTGTCTGCTGTTGTTTGTGAACCACAGCTCAAATGTGTTTAGTTTGTCTGTTGTTACCCTGCTGGACCTAACAGCTGCAACAACAGAGTTTCTTTTTATTGTTGGCTACTGGGGAGCAACAAAAAGAAGCTGTGAACACATCACTGAGACATCATCACCTTTAGGTTGATATGTGGAGCTTGTGATCAGACACGTCCAGCAGTCACACAGTAACCTGATGACTGCTGTTTGTGGTGTTTCCGAGCAGGAAGTGTTCAGAGACAGAGACAGAGACCAGAGCAATGAAGATGAAACTCATCATCACTACCGCACACTCATTTTACCTTGTCACACTGATAAACATGTCATAATTGGAAAATAGTGAATATCCATACGATAAGCCACTGTATTTGTGACTGTATGATTTAGATTTTTGTATATAAGAGGAAGGTGTTCTTGAACTCCTGGTCTGGTGTTCAGTTCTGATATAATTGTATTTATGACACATTTACACATGTATAGAAATGACGATCACTGCTGTCATAATGACTGTGCTAACTTTACATAACTCTGCAGTAAAAACCCTTCTATGTATTAAACCACTATGAGGTGTTTTGGTTTGGGCTGCTCAATTAACTGAAATATAATTGAAATTGTTATATGGCCAAGTGCAATATCCAAATCACAGGAGCTGCAGGTTTGTTTTTTTGATAAAGGTAAAATGTGTCACATTGTTGAACATTGTTCGCACTATAAGTGTTGTGGTGCTACAGAGTCGCCCCCAGCCTACAAGTCATATTCTCCAGATGTAAAGGAACATGTTGTTTGGTACAAGACCAACAAAAACCACATTATCATAATTTTTATATTATTTCGAATGAAATGAAGAAATGACCATTACATCTTAAACTGTATATCATAATATCTCCCAAAATAATCACAATAGGATTTATTTTGCATATCGTGCATCCCTAATATTGTTTTTTTGATAAGTCCTCAAAGTGGACTCCAGGATCCCGTCTGTCTGTCTCTCTGGTAGGGCCCCGACTAATGCAGCCTCTTTTTTTTTCACCCTGGGCTGTTTCCAGTCACTGAAGCTGGTGTTCTTCATCAGACCTGCTTGTTGAATCATCGTCTCTGACATTCGAGGTTTCTGGGTCCAACAATATTTAAAGAGACTGGTTTGTTCAGGGGAGAAAGTACACAGGGTCTGAACTTCTCTCTTTCTCTTTTCTGTCACTTGTCTGAAAACAAGCACTGTTATCTCTGAATTTAAACGATTACTGAGGCCCCCATACATTGCACCATGTTCCTGATCCAAGCACCAATAGTAGGTACAACCGTTTTCTTCCAGTTTAGAGCTATCACTCGTTTTGCCTGCGGTTTACCAAAATCAAGAAATCTGTATTCTTTGGTTCTCAACGTGAGATTTGTTGGATACAAGTGTAGCAATACCATGTTGGAGACAAAATGATCATGATTATATTGATCACGTCCCTCCAGAATTTCTTTATTTTGTCACACTCAATAACTTCATTACATTAAAAGCATATTTTGGGTATATTATTATTATATTTATTCATAATTGACAGGGATTGCATGAATCCACATCAACCAATTATATGGAAGTAACTTTAAGTTGGTGTTGGATGGCCTCTTTTAAATCTGCCCTCCATGCATTAAGTTGGGATGTGGAGAATTCATTTGAAACACATGCAAGCCATTTAAATGTTAATGAGATCAAACCATTGCCATTGCAGTTCTTGGTAACACTTTCTTCCAAGGTTGAAAGTGCTGGAAAGAAATGTTTTAGTGGAATGTTATATGTTAGAGAGATGTCCTCAAAAGTCATTAGAACCTTTTCTTTGTAAAGGTCAGATACTTTACTTAGTCCTCTCTTTGTCCATAGGTGGAATCCAGCATCCAGTCTACCTGGGTTAACAAAGCATTGTCCCAAATTCAACTAAGTTGTGACAAGGAGTTAGATATATTCATATACTGTATGTCTTTACCTCATACCATATATTGATACAGATACAAATGTAGTGGTATCTGAGAGGAGATAGACACTATATCCATCCATGGTGGCCCAGACCAGGCAGACCCTCCTGTGGTCAGTGTACAGCAGAACTTGGAAGTTGGATGTAAATAAGGTTAGATAATGACGATCACATGTTAATGTCAGTAAAATCCTGTGCTTCAGTATGAACTCTGGCTATCTGTGGTGAGGACCACTGAAACGCACATCAGACATCAGTGCTGCTGCCCTCCTTTGTGTTCAGATTCCAGCTCATCCCAGTTCAGACTCGCTGTGTCCCTTCAGCCGTCCTCCATCACTTCATTATGCACCCCCTCACATACGCCACCCCATCCCTCCCAGGCATATGAAGATGCAGGCTTGTGTAACTCCCATACACTAAACCAGTTTCATCCAGTTCACGAGGTGTTGCCAAGAAACCATGTGTGTATGTGTGCGTTTCTGTGCGTGTGTGAATAGCCAGGGTTCCCTTTGCTGTGTGAAAGCAGATAACTGGAATTTTCCTGTTCTTGCTGCCAGTATTACATAAGAGAGAGGGGAGAGAGGACAGCCGAGCTCCTGTGTGCTTCACTCTGCTCAGTTTTCTCTTCCACTTCTTCTTTTGTCATGAAGTAATATTAATAACCACAGTGTCTTCATTTTTCAAATTTAAACCAAACCTTTTTTTGTAATTATTTTTTGGGGCATTTTGCCTTTAATTCAATAGTTGCAGTGAGAGAGAGAGAGAGACAGGAAAGCTGGGAAGAGAGAGGGGGGATGACATGCGATAAAAGGGCTTGAACCTGAGCTGCTGCAGTTAGGACTAAGACTTCATAGTACATGCTCTGCAGGTGAGCCACCAGGGCACCCCCCACATGATTAATTTTGCAGCAACATTGTTCTGGCTCCTTTGATTAACAAGTAAATAAACCGGTGGACTGCCAAAAAATCTATACAGTTCTTACCGTCCTTCTCTGTACGCCTGTCACTCAGGGTGCAAATTGATGCATGCTGTGTGTGTGCTCCAGGACTGTGCTCACTCAAATACCTGTCGAACCTCACCTTGACCCCTGATCACATGGGCTGCCTCATGTCAACATCTTCTCCACATTGATGCACCAGTGTCTGAAATCAGAAAGTCACTGTTTAGATTGATCACACATGACCAGACATCACCGGCTGATGCAGGCTCTGATGTGAGCACATCAGAAAGCAAAGTCGTAGATGGAACATATAACAGCAGGCGTCTGGCTACTAATGTTGTTAGATGATCATATTTGGTGGAATGTAGGTTGTGACATAGAATGACCACAATTCAATGTCAGGTCAACGTATAATGCCAAGGTTAATATGACATTGAATAACTGTGGACATTCACAAGTCACCTGTGCTTTAGTTTGAGGGTGTGTAACTAAAATTGTGAGGTTGGGAGGTTGTACTGTGCAATCACAGAGGCTAATGCTAAGCTAACTGCTGGATGCTCAATAAATCCTTGTAGTTGCTGCTTGTCACACTGTAGTGTTTCGACATGTGTTAAATAGAAAGTGTGTGTGTGCGTGCCTGCATGCGTGCATGCGTGTGTGTATGTAAAGAGTAATGAGTAACTTCCTGTATCTCTCTCTCCTCCTGCAGGTGACCAGGAGAAGTTAGACCGTGAAGGCAGGTGCTGCCTCTGTCTCGCTCTCCTTCCTGTCTGTTGACAGTGTTGTCATGGCGTCCTCCTTGATCAGCCGTCAGCTCGCTCTCTCCCTACAGAAGAACTTGTGGCTCAGTGCACCAGGTAAAATCCACGACGCTTCGTTTACATCAGGTCCTTTTATATCCAATCAGTTTGTACTGTTTCACCAGGTGATGACATGTTGTTTTGTAGATTAACCCAGAAGAGCACTGTTGTTTTGCCCGTTGGACACTTTGAACTTTAACTACGTGTTTTAGTTAGAAAAAGTTAGAAGCTGTTAAGATCTACTGTGAGACCTTGTTTGGCAGGTGAATAAAGTTGCAGCAGAGGCTGAGAGATCAGATCACCGTGCCTCACTGTAATATAGCAGCTAGTCCTGCTGCACCTGCACCACCCTGTGAGAGGTGTGTGTGTGTGTGCGCTCGCGTGCATCTGATTTCAAACTTTACTTCCAAGTCAACGTGTTTGTCGTCTTTGATCAGTTGTCTCTTGAATATCTCCACTGCATGTGAAGTAGTGCGTAGTGTCATGATGTTGTCAGGGATGAAGAAGATGAAACCATGTTATAGTGAAAACAGAGGAACTTTATACAACCAGTGTAAATGTTTGACTGACCTCCAGCAGGATGTGGTTATCGGTAAATGTGTGCATGCTCCTCAGAGAGCGGTGACTGAGTGATGTCTCAAAGGTCCTCTCTCTCTCTCCTGTCAATCATCAATGGGCTCAATCTGTTTGGCTCAGAGTAACTACTTCATTTGGGGGACACTGTTCATCAGGATCCACAGTCTCAGAGTGACTGGACAAAATCCTCTCAGTGACGCACATGTTCCTACGTTTAGGCAAGAGCTTAACAACGCATACTCATTTACACACAGAACAATAAATGACCAAGTAATAAATGAAAATAATAAAAATAAGACAATAATAAACTGAAGACTGGAAAGAAAATATAACAATAAAGTGATAAAGATAAAATAATAAAATGCTAAAACAGAAGACACATATGTATTAAAGTGAGTAAAACCAGAAATATAAGACAAGATACTAAAAATCTAATAAAAACGAAGACAAAATTATAAAAAATAAAATGATAAAATGTTTTTTTTTTTGCATATTGTTCAGTAACAACATGACTTCACCTGTAGCCTACCGGGAGGCGGAGGTCAAACAGTCTGAGGGAAGAGAGATGGTGTGTTATTGATGAGCTTATTAAAAGACACCAGTTTGATAAAGTTAGGATCCTCAGAACACACAGCAGAAACCTGCAGCTGTGCAACCGTCACGCTCATGTCACAACCAGAGAGTTTGGCAGCTGAGAACGCACTAAAACTTTTATTTGTCACGTGCTTTTGATTTATTTGTTTAATAAATGATAAAGGGTTTGATCCGACCCTGCACCTTCACCTGAATTACAACAGGTGTGATAATCATTATGTGCTGTCTTTTAAATTATAGTGGGGCTATAACATTTCAGACCTGCTTTTATCGTGACAGTGTATTTCCTAAGACTGCTGTGCATAAATGTAAATGCCTCTGTGACTTAAGCTGTGTTCATTATATTTTTACATAGACAGCCTTGGTTAATGCTGTAGTCAAACCTGTTGGTGGGGAGTGTGGTCCAGGAATCTGGAAATATATAGTAGTATATAGTTATAGTTATATTTAGGGCTAAACAATTAATTGAAATATAATCGAAATCACAATTTGCCCAAATGCAATATCCTAATCAGAGGAGCAACCCTAACCCTAACCCTAACCCTAACCCTAAGCTACAAAGGTTTGATAAAGGTAAAATGTGTCACAACTAACAGACCATAAATGAAGCACTGTGGTGCTACAGAGACGCCCTGACCTACAAATCATATTCTACAGATGTTAAGGAACATGTTTGTTTGGTACCCAAGACCTAACAAAAATCACATCATCGTTTTCCATATACTTTATTTTACTTAATTCAAATTACCAATCCCACTTAAATCGTGACTCGTATCCCAATATTAGTTCAGCCCTAATTAAATTGGCAAAAATGGTTCTTCATCAAGACCTTAACAGATTTTTTAAAACTTCCTCCCCACACGTTTTAAACTCTGTAAAAATCTTCTGCTATGATTCATATTTTGTCTAACATGGTTTTCACTCATAAACTTCGGGCTGAATCTCCTCTCACTTCCTGATTGAGGAAACATCAGAGAGACTCAGCCACATGTTTGAGCCTCAGTCAGACCCAGACTCAGAGGAGGAGTCTGTTGAGACCAGAACCAGAGACTAGCAGACGGATCAGAACGGTTAGCGTAGTTAGCATCTTTTATCTGTTTATGTTGTTTGTTAGCTTGTAACTGAGAGTGGCTCACACAATGTAAGTGGTTGTGCTAATGCTAACTCTCTCTCCGTGTACTGACAAGGTTTCAGGTTGATTTAGCCCCGCCCCCGTCCCCACAAGTTGACAGGATTGGTTCATTAGGTTTGTGGCGTATGAAACCCTGGCTGTCTGAATCTGTGTTTATGAGACTGTCACTGGTTCACTGCAGGTCAAGGTGGAAACACTCAGTCATGGTGTTGATGATTATTTCACTCATCATATGTCTATATTATGTAAAAACATCGTATAAATGTTAACAAGGTGAAACACTTAGTTTTCATCAGAGGGTCTTTAATAAAAATAAAAAGTTAATCCTTAACTGTTGTGTCCAGAGGAAGATACCAGTCAATGCTGGATCTCATCACTGCAGGTGACCTAAGTTAACCTCTGCCTCCACCAATCAAAAGCAGTTTCCTAATGTAAGTTCAGTTAAGTCATAAACCTGAAAGGAGAAGCTGTGACCGCAGCCTGTTATCAGCCTCTCTGTGGTGGTTGTCAGTGTTCACTTCAGCTGATGAGTCAGTGGTTTCACAAACAGGATCAAACTCCAGGTCAAAGAAGAAAAACACAGACAGAGTTTGTTCACTCAGTGACAGTGAGGATGAAACTCATCAGGATCCTATCAGCGCAATACATGACTTTGTTTTGTTCCTGTATATCTACTGTGGATGACGACATGGTGTTTGAGACTTTAATATGGAACTGAGCACAGTTGTTCAGTTACCTGGAGACAGCGACTGTGTTCTCCTGTACTGACTGCCGGCGTGGAGCCACAGTTGTGCCAGCAAACATCCCAGTTGAGCTGTGGGCAGGTTGTCAGAGAGAAGAGACAGGCACAAGACACTATGTCTTCTCTTCATTATCATGGGCAACGTAAGGTCATTTACCCACAAAGTACATGAACTAACAGGACTTCAGGAAGTGTAGTGTTCTCTGCTTCACTGAGACATGGCTGACATCTGACCTTTCACCCCTTCATACTCATACACCGATGGCAGCAAGCTGAGGATTGGACCATCAACTCGTGTCTGCGATGTTTTTGAGCAGATGCATCAGCTACAGCCTCCGAGCCACTGTAGGTACACTGCAGCCCCTTAATGCAGAAGCCTAGCTCCAGCTGTACCACCCCCCCGAGGTGTAAATGTAAGGGCAGGGCTGGAGCAGATCGAGTCGGGGAGGTGGTGACGGCAGACAACTAAAGATGTTATCTTGACTTCTTCAGCTCGTACTCAGTGTGGAATGGTTTTGATGAACAGAACAGAAATGATGAAGATCCAAGATTCATTTGAGCCGGTCTAGTCACAGTACCTGTGAGGTTTCAGTGTTAATTAGACTCACTGACAGTCTCAGGTGAAGGTCTCATGTGGGAGCAGCAGACTGATTCAGAGTTTCACTGATGAAGACATGAAGTCCTTGTTCTCCTCTCAGGAGCTGACGTGATGGTGATGTGTGTTTTCACCCATCACTTACTGTAACTGCAAGACTCTATATGACACTGTAGACAGTCTGCTTCAGTTCACTGCTATACAGGCTGGGTTTGTGTGTGTGTGTGTGTGTGTGTGTGTGTGTGTGTGTGTGTGTGTGTGTGTGTGTGTGTGTGTGTGTGTGTGTGTGTGTGTGTGTGTGTGTGGATTAAAAAAATGTGGTTGAGGAGGTTGACAGATGTATAAAGGATGTAGCATCCAGTCATTCTACTCACTTTTATTGATTGGACTGAATCAGCCTCCATCAGAAGTCAAATAAAAGAAGAGCTGAGGCCAGTAGAGGAAAACCCACCTGCACACTGTCTGACTTGCAACAAAGAATTTGATGCAACGTTTTGGTCCCACACCTTCATCAGGCAAACGGTTTTCCAACAATAAGGAGCCATCTCAAACAGGAGTGGCTGAGTCGGCAGCCAATCTCCTTACCCCATGTGAAGTGGAAGATAACAATAAACTGATATCAACTCAGTATGTAACAGTTAACAGTTCAATACGTAGAGGAAACTCCACATAAATTGAACAGGTAAGTTAATAAAAATATAATTCGTAAATATGAATGTGTTCCAGTCCTCTACAATACACATCATATAAATATAATGTCCAGAGATTGGTGCAACATTAACACATTAAATTGCATTAACATTAAATCAGGTTACATGAGAATTGAACCAGAAGGATTTCTCCTGTTGTTGTAATTGATGACCATCTTCACGAAAGACTCGCCCCTACTTCCTGTTCTTCCTGCGAGCTCACAGTCTGTATGTGAAGTGATGTACACTTATTGATCCGAGCAGTTGACACGAATGAGCAGGAAAACTACAGGGAGACTGTTGGTCAGATTGTGACTGTGGTTGTAGCAGATATTTAAATCTCTGTGTGTGAGAGGGTCTGGTCTGAGCAGAATCTCCTCAGCAGCTTCAAACAGCTCCTTCACTGTTTAAAGTTAGTTTAGTTTCAGACAGATGATTACAGATGAGTTATAGTGATCTTAGAAGGCGTCACAGAGCCTTTCTCTCTCTGTGTTGAATGCTGTGTTGCTGCCGTCTTTCATCTGACCACATTCAGAAACATGACAGGACCTGGTCAGACAGCTGTTGTGACCTCTACAGAACAGTCGGCAGGTTGCTGGTGTTCACACAGCAGACCAGCAAACCGCCATCAGACAGTAAAGAGGAGCAGCTGTGTGTGATACCTGTACCTGTTTCATTTCCCACAGCTGCTGAGAACAGGTGACGTTTTCTAAATGAGCTGCAGAGTCAGAGTTCACCTGTGCGCATACCTGTGGTCAGACACCTGGTCCAGATGTTAACATGTCACCTAGTTTCAACTGGACTACTGCAGCTAAACTACATTATCAGAACCTGGAGGAAAGACTGATCCAGAATCCTGAAACCAGAACTTGATGTTCACGTGTGCAGATGTTAGTGAGCGAGTGAACACAATCTCTCTCTCTCTCTCTCTCTCTCTCTCTCTCTCTCTCTCTGTGTGTTGATGATTTATTGTCTTGTCTCTTCCAGGATGCAGATACATCAGTAAAGCAGCACCACAGACCCAGGTGGACTTTGACTATGATGGACCCTCCATGAAAACTTCAGTTCCTGGGCCACGATCGCATGTAAGACACACACACACACACACACACACACACACACACACATATAAAACTTGTCTTCACAGCGATAGAAAAACAAGAACACACAAACACAAAGATGATTGATAATACAAACATGTTTTCACTGAGCATCAATAACAATATTTATTTCAATCTGTAGGAGCTGACAAAACAACTGGGAGAAATCCCGGTGAGCTGACGTGTGTGTGTGTGTGTGTGTGAGAGAGAGAGAGAGAGAGAGAGAAAGAGAGAGAGAGAGTGTGTACGTGTGTAGCATGTCTATACTGATTTTTTTTAAACGTGTTGCCAGTAGACAACTTTGCCTTTCTGTTGTTTCCTCCTGGTGTGTCACATGGTTAAAACTCAGCGCCTACTGACCAATATTGTGTGAAAAGGCTTTTATACAGTTGCACTATCACTGCCTGTAGTGTGCCCATCAGGTTTGGTTGGAGGGCTTGAATAAGCAGGTCGAGGCTGATTAAAAAAGAGTCGTACACTGCAGAAGAGATAGTCATGGCAACCTCCCAGGGTTATAGCAACGTCAGAGCATCGCAACCAAAAAGGGGTGAAAATTAGCATGTGCACCTGGGTGTCATGTTTCATCACTGCTGGTCAGAGCTGGAGCTGATAAATACTGAGACTCCTGCAGAGTCATTTGACCTGGGACTAAAGATTGTACCTGTTCACACTGAAGACAGAAGACAGATGTTAGTGGATTTTTTGTCGAGTGTATAATGTATAACAAAGCCTGTGTGTGTGTGTGTGTGTGTGTGTGTGTGTGTGTGTGTGTGTGGCCAGATGGAATCTCCAATTATATTAACTCAGTGAACTAGTTAAATAAACCCTGCAGCGTTAATGCTGTTCCACATACAGTAGCTCTGTCCACTGCAATGGAATCTGCAGTAGGCTTGTCTCTTCACAACTGATAAGTGTGTGTGTGTGTGTGTGTGTGTTTGTATGTGTGTGTGTGTGTGTGTGTATGTGTGTACACTGACATGCAAATGTTTGTAAAACCATGTCTCACAAATGTTTTTGTATAAAACATTTGCATGTGTTGCTGTGACGTTTTCCACTTACGTATGACACACAGGGTTTAATCTCTCCTTAGCTGCGGGGGTTACTTAGGGGGGAGTTGCACAGAAAAGTTTCCTTAGTTAAGGAAAAAGGTTGAGGCATTTACAGCAGTGAAAGAGATTTTACAGCAATAAAATTCTACTGTTTGGAGACTGTTGATTTGCTTCCATTAGCACTTATGATACTTGTTATCACTTTTGGGAAGCGGGTAACATTTAAGAAATCGCTATCTCATCCTCCTGTTGTTTTGATGGGACTTCACCATAGTGAACTTTCCTGGTATCTAAGGTGTTTTGTGCAGCAGTTTAACTGACTTTAAGTGATTCCGTTCAGACTAAGATAAGGAGAAAACCGGCCCCAGGTCCATAAACAACACTGGGTAGTGTCATTAACAATTAAACAATAATTTGATTGATAATTAATGTGACTTCGAGGCAGACACCACACGCTCTTTCACAACATAATCAGACACAAGGAGGATCAGTAATGATACGGACCGTCCAGAGAAATAAAGCTTAACTCCACTGAATACATCAGAACTCATGGTCTTTGAAATGACGGTTTCTCAGTTTGGAGTTGTTACAGTTTTCTGTTTTTGTTGTATGTTGGAGGAGGTTTGAGGTTTTATTATGTTTTAGTTTTAGAGCTGTTGTGATACAGAGACTAGTATCAGAAATGCCTCAGGTACTAAGATCCTGGATCAGGTATCAGCCACTACTTCAGTCTATGTACTGATCTGATAGCATGTAATTTATACTTTATATACTTCTATATACTTCTTCTTCTCTCCTCTAAAACAGTAGTCTACACAAGAAGTTGCGCTGTACAGCCACCGGCAGCTACCGTTTTTGAGCAGCGAAGAAGGATTGATTTCCTATAAATAGTGTTAACATTAGCCGTTAGCAAATCAGCATTTATCAACATGCTACACCGGAGAGTCCCGCAGGTAAAAAGGCCACGTGTACAGTAAGAAGGCTTTAAACTGGAGGGGTGGCACCAGTGTAGGAAGGGTTATTTATTCCTAGATTTATTTTTTATGACTGACAATCAAATTAGATAATAAAAGAACTATTCTATAACATGTATATATCTGTTCATGTTTTACAAGGGTTTAACCTGAGCCTTACAACAATGACAGCAATCACATACATACAGGGTCAGTAATATACAGCTGTTGGTTTTTATAAAAATTGAATGCAGTGGTATTGCACCAGTACTCTGTATCAGCTGATACACAGGTTCAGGTATCAGGAGGAGAAAACAGTATGTGAACATCTCTAGTTTTGGTCCTTGATGATTGTACCTGCTGCTGTTACTCTGGACTTTTAATCGTCACATACATTTGAATTCAGATAAATGAGTTGATCAGTACTCGACAGTCCTGCTGCACCCAGCAGAGCCGAAGACTCAGTGTCTGTTTCTACATGTGTTGACCGGACAACTCTTAGTTTGACTGTGACAGACTGTGTGTTTCTTTGAGCAAGGCTATGCCAACATAGAAGCAGATATTAAAATGATAATAACCTTTGTCACATGGCAGGTGTGATTGTTATGTGTGTAATTCCACTGTCTTCTGTTTGATCTTAAACCTCGTCTCTTCCCAGAACGTTGGTGCCATCAACTTCTTCTGTAACTATGAGGAGAGCAGGGGGAACTACCTGGTGGATGTGGATGGCAACCGCATGCTGGATGTCTACACCCAGATCTCCTCCATCCCCATTGGTTAGTGCCTGACATCCACACACAGCTACCTGTGCTGTAGGAGTGTGTAGTGTGGATACAACCCCGCGTTTTATATTCAGTATGTTCAGTGTTGACACATGGGTGGTTGTTTATTTCACCGGTGAACGAGCACCTCAAAGACGTCTGTGCACTGTTTTCCTGTCTTTGCCGTTCTTGCCATGTTAAATATATTTTAACAAACTGGGCCCACTTTCAAATATTTCTTTAGTGTTTTTTTTATTGTATTGGAGAACATGGAACTGCAGTTCTTCCAGAACGTTGGTGCCATCAAACTGCAGAGACGGTTTTCACTCACTGACATCGTTCCTTTCATGACATCTTCTTTGCACTTTCTCAATCAATGTCAGTCTGATCATTGAGTTTGGATTTTGTCAGATGTATTTGGTTTAGTTAGAGAGGATCGATGCTGCTCTGTCTGGATGGTCAATATGAAGCTATAGTCAGCAGAGACTGGAAAACGGGGGGAGCAGCTGTGGCTCCTGGTTCCAGCACCAGACCCTCTAAAGCTCAGTGACTGAGTGCGAAACATCCAGGCAGCAGCAGGAGACAGCTGTTTTCTGGTTCGAGTGCTCTCCGCAGGTCTGTGTCTGTACTCAGACAAAGATCATCTATTAAGTGAAGAAGCTGCACTCTCTAAAATAATGGTGGAGTGAGTTCTGTGGTTCCAACAGTACCGCCACAGTGATACGTCTTCTCTCTAGTGGATCTCATCAGCAGATCAGCTCATTGTTTGTGAACCAGGACCTAGAGGATCTGGATCAAGTAGCTTGTGAAAAATAAACTAGGACACTACAGCTGTGATTTCATTGTCAGATACAGATTTAAATATGAATATCAGATCAGACTTAGTATTGACAGAAAAAAAGACAGGGGTGGGAAGGGGTGGGGGATGGATCTGTCACGTGAGTCTGTCCTGGCAGTACAGAGTCTAACCTTTCTGGGGGAGAACAGTTTGATGGTCTTGTGGTTCTGGCCCGGATGCTGGTGATGGCAGTGATGTGAAGAGTGGGAGGAGTCTGTGATGGTGTTGAAGGCAGTGGGAGGAGTCTGTGATGTGTTCAAGGCAGTGGTGTGAACAGTGGGAGGAGTCTGTGATGGTGTTGCTGGTGCAGGTTTTGTGAGTGTCCTGAAAGGATGGTGGTGGTGGGGGGCGGGTAGCCAATGACCTTCTCTCCTGTTCCCATCACCCCCTGCAGGGCCACACGGTCAGAGGAGCCAAACCAAGCACTAATGCAGCTCTTCAGGATTCTTTGTATAGAGCCTGTATGCGGTGAGAGTTGGGGGAGGGGGCTGAGACGCTGTCGAGCTTTCTTGGCTGTGGAGGTGGAGCTGAATTACGTGCCATATGAACCCTAAGATATGTGGTGCTATGATCCATCTGTGCTGCAGAGTCACTGATCAGTTTGTTCCATCCGAAGTCAGTGATCATCTTTTCCTTCTTCGACGTTCAGAGACATTCAGATCATCCTCCTCCCATCTCTGAACGCAGCCCACAGACGTGATGGTGTTTGAGGAGCTGAGTTCAGCAGACCAGTCATGGGTCATCAGGGTGGAGAGCGCTGGACCCTGGGGGCCGTGGTTCTGATGGTGTTGGTCACAATCAGAATCAGATTTATTTGTCACTACCATAAAATGCATTTCAGCATTCATGGAAGCAAAATACTGTACTCCACCGGTCGGGGTGCAGGTCACATTAAAAAAAATAACAAGAGACACACACAAGAGACAGGAGGGAGTGCATAGTTGTGATGGCTTGTGGAAAAAAGCCATTGCCCATTCTGGTGGATCTTGCATGGATGCTCTGGAGCCTCCTCAGTGCTGGACAGAAGTCATGATTTTATTTTAAATCTTCTTATTTTACACACTTTAATAAGTGCAGATGGTCTGAAAGAAAACCCAGCGTGCACTGGTTTAACACCGACGCCACATGGAGAAACCAGTCGGACCACGATCTACCAGGACTTGATGGACCTCTACCACAGGCAGCAGGGTTATGTGACTGACAGAGGCAGCTGCAGGTTGGTTAGCCTCGCTAACTCTGCAGCTAATATTACTGTCATAAGGTAATTAGAGCCGGTGGAGACGCTAGCCTGGTTACATCTGCTGTTGTAGAGTCTTGACATGTTTGTACTGTGCAGAGGAGAGTTAGCATGCCGCTACCCTTCCATTAAGATCTGGATCATGCTCTGTGCCCTCAGAGTAAATCATGCATCAGCATATTTTACAGACACTAACACTGTCCAGCAGAAAAGAGAACTCCTACAGCTTCCTGTGTCTGCCCTGCCAAATAAGATCTTTCACAATAAAATAACTCAAGGTTTGGAAAATGCTCTAATATTATTTATAGTAGACATCCAGTCACTCTGTGGTGCAGAGACAAACCATGTGTGGTGAACATTATTTAATAAGTCAGTGGTCTCAGCTCCAGGCCTCGGGCCTCTCTGACAGAGGGTTCGTTGTAGCCAGGAACTCACACACTTCATTAATTCAGTAGTTAAAAGCCCTGAAAACTGTTCAGTCACAACACTTCACTTCTCAGAAAGATAGTGGATTCATTTCAGACCTCAGCAGGTCCAGCATTTCATTCCGTGTAATTCAGTTTACTCAGCTTTAATGGTTCCTGTCGAGGCTCAGTTTCTCGTCTGGTTTTTCTACAACAACAAGGATTTCAAGGATTTCTGAAACATCTCATTTGACAACTGATGCTCTTTAATGTTCGTAAATCAGAAAGTCCTGCAGAAGTGCACGTGTCACATCTCCTCTGTGTGTTTGTGTGAAACGTTGCTTTGGTGCATTCACATAAAGGAAGAAGGAGAAGTGCAGCACATGCAGCTTCCTCAGACTCAAACAAAGCTCAAAACACTTCCTGGATCTGACCCTGACCTCATGACTGGGACCAGGATGTTTCAGATCATGCAGAGATGATATGAAAGAGGGAACATCAGCCCCTTTCACACAGAGATCTGTTACACTGCTGTTAAGAAGACGCCTCATTATCCTGCCTGTGCATGTTGGCGTTCAGGAATCAGAGGTGTGACGTGTCTGTCCCACCGTGCTGGCTCTGTGAAAACCTCCACCGCTGACTTTTGTTCGTACCGTTTATACAGAAGAGAGAGGAGGCAGCGTTGCCTCTGAGTTGACATCACTCATATCAGAGACAGTTCCTGCGACCACACCGGCTAAACCACATTTCTTCACTTAAGGTCCCTAAATGTCAAAAAAAGTGAAGTACTTGCAGGCTTCACAGCTGCAAAGGAAATGATTGCAATTAGTTGGAAACCCCCGCACACTCTGACCAGAAGACAGTGGGTTCTAGCTTTTCTAGACGTTATTTATATGGAGTTATCAACAGCTGGTAGAAATGGGGCTGAAGAGGTGAATGTGAATATGTGGCTCTCAGCGGCTGAGGCAACGAAAGGCCTGTTGTGATTTCTGTATTTCTCACAATATCCTGTCTGCTACATACTTGACCCACATCCAATCTAACATCCTTCTCCTTAACATCATTATGTCTATGTCCATTTTTGTCAAAGTGGAAACATTTCAAAACATTTCACAACAAAAAAAGAAGAGAAAGAGGAGGAGGAAGAGGCCCAACATGCCGGCCTTGAACAGATTCGTGTAAAAGAGGCCAGTGTGTGTTTGTGTGTGTGTGTGTGTGTGTGTGTGTGTGTGTGTGTGTGTGTGTGTGTGTGTGTCACTGTGGTGGAGGTCTCCAGGGTTTGTGGACTAGAGCTTTGCCCTGCAGCATTCAAATGACATGGAAAACAGAAGGAGTAAGAAGCCCTCACTTCCTGTTCTCTCTCTCTGGTGAAAGTGTGTGTGTGCATTTCCGTAAACTAATGACAAAGACAAAGCTGTAGAAAAGAAAAACTCATTACCAGAGGAGCTGGAGTTAAAGGATCAGTCCTATGTTTTATCAGGCATGATTCTAGTTTTTAAGGGTCAGCCAAGGAAAACTCTTCTGAGGCACTGAACTTTATTTGACATGTGGATGAAAGGCTGTGTACTACATTACTGGCTTTCACTTCACTGGTTATTTTTATTTTTGGACATGTCTTGGTATGAAATAGAGCAGAGTCAGCAGATTGCACGAGTGTGTTAAAATCTGTGTGAAACCATGTTTCTCAGTGTCACACATGTCGTGGTGAACGTGCTGTCATTCCTCATGTTGGATTATTTACCTGTTCATCAGTCTAAATACCCAACCGTTCAGGTTCAGGTTCAGGTTCAGGTTCAGGTTCAGGTTCGAGAGAGATCTCAGTGTTGGAATTAAGAACATGTAGGAACTTCAGACAAGTGGCAGCTGCATTGCTCCTCACTGCCCTCTGCTGGCTGGAAGAGGAACAGCACTGCTCTTTATGTAAGACAGCCGCATCAGTTTAGGTAAGATTCAAGATTCAAAGCTTTATTGTGCTCTGAAGACACTGAGGGTCCACAGACCACCCACAGCCACAGACTCAGGCAGTTCCTGCAGTTCATTCAGGTCTTATACTTCAGTACTCTGACCTACGGCACTAAACGGATGGAAGTGTCCTACTCAATAACAGTATTTACCCAGATCCTGACATTGTGAATATGACAGTGAATCAGATATAAAGAAATAAAGTGAAAACAACAGCTTGAGCTATTAAAGACTCAGCAGTTTCCAGAGCCACTAACTGTTCTGTCACAGCTCAGAGAGAAAACAAAGACCCTCTGAATCTACCTGAACGATCCACTGCGCTTGATCATAGTCCAGGTACCAGAGGAGCTGAGTCTCTCTGGTCTATTTTAGCTCTTAAACAGACTCCCTGCTGACATGAACGCTGCCATAATCACACTGCTGCTGAAATGAGGATCCACCATCCTCACCGTCCTCACCGTCCTCACCATCATCACTGTCCTCACCGTCCTCACCATCCTGTCCTCACCGTCCTCACCGTCCTCACCGTCCTCACCGTCCTCACCATCCTCACCATCCTGTCCTCACCGTCCTCACTGTCCTCACCATCATCACTGTCCTCACCGTCCTCACCATCCTCACCATCCTGTCTTCACCATCCTCACCGTCCTCACCATCCTCACCATCCTGTCCTCACCGTCCTCACTGTCCTCACTGTCCTCACCGTCCTCACCGTCCTCACCGTCCTCACTGTCTTCACTGTCCTCACCGTCCTCACCATCCTCACCATCCTGTCCTCACCGTCCTCACCGTCCTCCCCATCCTCACCATCCTGTCCTCACCATCCTCACCGTCCTCACTGTCCTCACCGTCCTCACCATCCTCACCATCATCACCATCCTGTCCTCACCATCCTCACCGTCCTCACCGTCCTCACCGTCCTGTCCTCACCGTCCTCACTGTCCACCAGCCTCTTATTGTTTTTACCTGATTGTGATTTTACTGTCTGAATATGTTTATTTACTTTTATAGAAAATCACTTGCAGAAAAACATCATCATCATTATTATTATAACATGTCTATAGCTTGTTTTATGAAGCCAGTTTTCGTCACGACTGATGCTTGTTCAGCTTTTGCCCCAGTTTAAAGACCTTGATATCTAAACCCAACTTTAGTTCAGGTTCCATAAATGAGGAACCTCCTTAGTTTTCATAGAATATTTAATATGATGACTGTAGTGTTCATGATGTGGCTCACAGTTTAAAATATGTTTCCATCCTCCTTCCTCAGGCTACAACCACCCTGCTCTCCTCAAGCTGATGTCCAACCCCCACAATCTGGTAGGTCAATATCACTTATGTCATCAGCGACAGTGACAGTCTGCGTGGTTCTGCGTGGTTCTGCGTGGTTCTGCGTGGTTCTGCGTGACATGGTCTATACTAGTCCAGTAACACGTTCACAGCAGAGTGTATAGAATGTGTTTGACCATAATGAAACCTTGCTGCTTCATCTAACATATGAAGGGACACTGTGTAATTGAGACCTCTTCTTATAGTCTTTTAATATCAGTATCAGTTGATCATTTACACATATAATTAGTTTTGACCTTAATTTTCTCGTGTAAACATAATGAAATCCTTAGCCCCAGACTTGCTGTTGTTTGTGTTGCTAGGCAACATCTAGCCGAAGAGGCAGAGCTCAGCAGGAGTTTTATAATGTCACTGTTCACTGTGTCAGTCAGAAGAGCAGAGAACAGCGATGGAAAATGGAGCTGAGCAGTTGGATGTGGATTTTAAAAGTCTTAATTTTCCCAGAATTCATTGTACCACAGTCTGGCTTCAGATAGTCATGAAACTTTAGACGTCTATATCTAAGACACAGTCAAAGTCTGTCTTTGTGGAACCAGCCCCAGGAGTGGCAGCAGTGTAAGCGTAAGTCACACACATGGGAGAGCAGCGAAGAACAGGGACGTAGATATTGAGGTTCTCAGCCCCTAGAATGTGAATGATCTGCAGTAAGCACATGGCTTCTCACTGATGTGCTTATACATGCTGTATGTTCTATACAGGAGAGTAGAGCACTGTCCTGAGGAGACACTGACGTGGTCCGCAGGAAACAAACTGTTTACCTGAGACATGTTTTAACAGCTTCAGTTGTCTTCTCTGTTTCATGTAAATCACAGTCATGCTTTTGCTTTAATTGAAGTTGATTAATTGTGTTGTAGTGTTAGGGTTACTTTGAGGGAACTTCTTAAAATTTGGCACAAAAATTCATTAGGACTCAAAGATGAACTGATTAGAATTGAAATGGTTAAAGGTCAAAGGTCACTGTGACCTCATATAACTCATATTTACTCAAATGTCTATAGGGATAAAATGAAGTTTTTTATATCCAAAAGGCCAATGGTCAACTTCACTGTGACATCATTATGTTCTGCAAAAACATCTCTAGCTATTATTCAACACTGTAACTCAGGAAGGAGAGACTGTGACCGTTTGACTGGCTGGTGGAGGAAACAACCACGTGGAGGTGATTCTAGTTTTTAATGAAAGTTTTACTTGTGCTCTGTTGACCGAGTTGAACGTGTGTGTGTGTGTGTGTTTGTGTGTGTTTGTGTGTGTGTGTTTGTGTGTTTGTGTGTGTGTTCGTGTGTGTGTATTCATGAATTCATTTGTGTGTATTTGTGTGTCTTCCTCTCAGAGCACATTTGTGAACAGACCTGCTCTGGGAATCCTGCCACCTGAAAACTTTCCAGACAAGCTCACTGAAAGTCTTCTCTCGGTTAGTAACACACACACACACACACACACACACACACACACACACACACACACAGTTGAGAGTTGAGATGATGGAGTTAACTCTGTTATTGATCTGATTGTTGGGTACTACACTCCCCCTCCTCCTCCCTCCTCTCAGGTGGCCCCCAGTGGGATGACTCGTGTCCAGACCATGGCCTGTGGCTCCTGCTCCAATGAGAACGCCTACAAAGCCATGTTCATCTGGTACAGGGTGAGTGTTACCTAGTTAACAGGGTGAGTAAGTAACTGAGAGATCAACAAGAAGCAGCTTAACTTTACATCTATTAAAAGATGAGCTCACGTAACATCGCCAGGAGCTGAGGACGAGGACGTGACGTCGACCTGACTCTCAGTCGGCCATCTTTAGGAACAGTAACGTTCAGCTCCAGGATTCATATGGACAGTCAACAGTTCCATCTTCACTACAAAAACACACACACTGAACAGTGTTTTAGTGAACCAGGGAACCTGCTAATGCTAATGCTATTGCTAACGCTAATGCTAGCTGAGCAGCAACATACTTGGTAGGGTCGGTCTGCTGTATCACTGCAGAGAGAAGAGGGACACTGACTCCACTGACCTAACCAGAACCACACCTGTAACCGTGGTAACCGTACACTACAAAGATGGCTGCAGCTATAGCCTCAAAATGAAAGATGAAAGACAAACGTTAGTTACTATATATATCCATATTTCATTGATCTGATGTCTGAAAAATAATTACATTTTAATAATTACATTTTAATCTGGTCAAAAACTAAATCAGGTTCTAAAATGAACCTGCAGGTCCAGCTCCAACAAGACTAAACAACATTTCCCTTAATGCAGCTGGAGCACCAGCACCGTCTGTTAAACACACAACATACATAAGAGAATGTTCAGCTGACAACCTGAGGTTCTTATCCTTTATGTCCTAACTGGTACCTGTTACATAGAGTATGGATTTATTTTATAGATGTGTTCATCGTTGTGATTGTGTGAATTGTGGATGTGAATGAAGCGTCCTCTTTGTGAGTCCTGACTGTGTGTTTGTCTTTTTGTGTAGAACAAGGAGCGAGGACACAACACACCGTCTGAGGAGGATGTCAGCAGCTGCATGATCAACCAGGTGAGGGAGACAAATCTCAGTACACAGCACAGCATTCTGGGATGTGCCTGACATCATACTGAATATTTTCATCTTCCTCTTTCTTTCTCTCTCTCTCTCCCTCCCTCTCAGGCTCCAGGTTGCCCAGACCTCAGTATTTTATCTTTCATGGGAGGTTTCCATGGAAGAACACTGGGTATGTTCAACACAAACCACTACCTGTTCTAGATTATAAATATTACATGAGCACAGCAGCTCTTTCCATAACAGTCCTGTTGAACTGAGCCCGAGTGAAGCTGCTTCATGACAGAGGCTCATGTTTGAAAACTGTTGACCGGCTGAGGCTCGTGCTCCCGGGCTGAGCTGCTGGGTGTACTGGCTGTGGAGAGAGAGATTGAGCTGTCCACTTGTGATCAGATCACCCGAGACAGATGTTAATACCAGGTGTGCACAGGTGTGAACAGGGCCTCAGTCCTGATACACACACTCACAAAGTTCCTGAGTCTCACACTTTGATGAGTTAAAGCTTGATTCGTTCACATGAAGCAGCAGCATGGAGTCTCCACTGCTCCTGCTGCATCTCATACCTGCTGTGTGTGTGTGTGTGTGTGTGTGTGTGTGTGTCTGTGTGTGTGTGTGTGTGTGTGTGTGTGTGTGTGTGTGTGTGTACATGATGTGGTGCAGCACAGATGATCATTGCAGTGACTGTTTCAGCTACATGTGTTCGCTAGTTTAACTTGTGCTGTCGGGCTCTGGTGTGAACACAGTGTCTGTTCTGTAAAGACAACAGCTGCACTGACCTTATAAAGTCAAGGTTTGAAGTATCAGCAGATGAAGAGGCTCATTTCTTCCTCTGACTGGGACCTGGAGAGGTTGAGGCTGAGGTCAATGATCCAGTCAGACACATTAGACCTGCTCATTTCTTCATTCTCTGTGGAAAATAAATTGAAATGATGTAACAGAACGTGCACGCTTCAGAACATTAATGCACATTTTTTAAATATATGATGATCCTGATGTCACCATGCTGTGCGTGAGTTTGTCTGCCTTTAAAAACTCAGTCTCACACTACCTAAAATATCATCATTTATCAACTCTAAACACAGCTATCAAATATATTTAGCAGAATAATGTAAGCTCAAAGATCCCCTTGTAGCCTGGTCAGAGCTTTCAACCACAGGTCTGGGTCTTCATTAAGCGTATGGAGTCTTGAGTGGACAGTGGTACAGCTAAAACATTTGAGTGGTGAACAGCCACTGAAACTGTGAGGCTGAGGGATCGATGTGTACATTCATGGCTGACACAGTGCCGTTGCTTTGTTCAGGTTGCTTGGCAACGACACACTCCAAAGCAATCCACAAGCTGGATGTGCCGTCGTTCGATTGGCCGATCGCCCCGTTCCCCAGACTGCAGTACCCCCTGGAGGAGTTCACCAGAGAGAACGCACAGGAGGAGGCTCGCTTTCTAGAGGAGGTGAGCTGTGTGTGTGTGTGTGTGCGTTTTTGTGTGCACGCGTGTGTCTGTGTGTGTGTGTGTAGCAGCTGTTGCTTATTGTATTTTCAGTAACATACCTCCACCTGACAAGCTCACCTGTACACACCTGATGTGATAAACAGATCATCACTGCTTATAAAAGATTCATTCAGGTGTCTTGTGAAATTCCCTTCAGGTTTACTTACATCATATTCATGTCCTCAGGAAACTTGTTGCAGTCATAAAACCACAGAGCATCATTAACTGTGTGGTCTGACGAGTCATAAATTGACTGCCAATCAAATATATAGTGAAAAATGAATTCCTCATCGTTGAGCGTGTCCATCGGGTTCTTCAGATCGCAGAAAACTCTTGTTGGGATGGTCCTCTTCATTCATCACCATAAACTCAGACATGTTGTGGTTCAGACAGAGTCAGAGGTACCTCAAGTTTTTTTCCTTACTTTGGTCGCTAAGGTCTTCTGTGCAACGGCTTATCTCACTTTAAGTGATTCCTTAAGTATAACACTAAGATAAGGAGAAAACCTTAAATACTTAAGTGAAAATTTTAAGGAAACCTGAAAGAAAAGAATAAAGGGTGTTTTGTGCAACAGTTTTTTATATAAGTTGGACTTTAAGGAAAATCTTAACTTAAGATGCTTTGTGCAACTGGCCCCTGGATCTGAAGTTATCAGTGGAACAAGCTGAGTAAATGTAAGACCGCTCAGCTGCCAGCAGCTGGAGACGTCTTGTGTCTGCTGAGGAGCGTCACAAAAACACTGACTTTTAGCATGAAACTGCTTTATTCAGTGTTTGTACTGGATTTGATCACCAGGTCCATTTCTTCAGCTCAAGGTTAAAATCCTCCTGAACGATGAACACTGAAGGAATCCGAACAACTCCCATGATCCCACGCTACATCACAATTTCACCAAACTCTGTCTTTTGTCATTGTTGTGATTCAGAGGCAGAAGTTACATAATCTCCTTTTCAAGTCATAACATAAGAAGACATTTGTTTACAAAGGAAGTACACACACAGATACACAAGATCACATTTGCCATGTATTAAGATAACTGAGTGTGTGTGTGTGTGTGTGTGTGTGTGTGGTGTGTGTGTGTGTGTGTGTGTGTGTGTGTGTGTGTGTGTGTGTGTGCGTGCGTTCTCAGGTGGAGGACCTGATCGTGAAGTGGAGGCAGAAGGGGAAGCCTGTAGCAGGGATTGTAATTGAGCCGATCCAGGCTGAGGGTGGAGATAACCACGCCTCCCCAAACTTCTTCAAGGCTCTCCGCAACATCGCACGCAAGGTACCAGTTATCACCATGGCAACAGGTCCTTTAAACAGACTTAGCCTGTGTGAATGAGCTGTGCTTGGATAATCAGTACTGATGCCGGGCTGCATCATGTGACTGCGAGGACAGTAGTAAATAGAAAGTAAATAGCAATAGTAGCAGTAGTAGTGTTGTATTGTAGAGAGTCTCACTGACAGTAGAATTGTTCTCTGACTTTGTACAGGTTTTTCTACCTCTACAGTCTTTTATGTAACTGTTTTGCAGGTTTGCTGCTGTGAATTAACTGGTCTTGTGTTGTCTTTCTGTCACTTTGCACTTTTACTTCAAGCCTTTATTTTTCTTGTTAAATGTTATATTAGGAAAAAGCAAGTTTATTTCTACAGCACTGTTCAGACACGAGGCAATTCAAAGAGCTTGGAAATACATGAACAATAGAACATTGAGATGAGGTTAAAATAGCATTTAAAAACAATAAAAACAAAATATGTAAATACATAATATCGGGTAGAAACTTAGGACACCATTTTAACAAGAATGGAGAAATAAAAGACATTAACAACAAGCAAACGCACAAGATTAAAAAGATGTGATGTATGTGATTTATTGGTGAGCTGCAGTAAACTGTTGTTTGAAGCCCTGATTTCACTGAGCTGACAGTTTCAGCAGATCTCAGGTGTTCAGGAAGCTTGTTCCACAGGTGAGGAGCAGAGGAAGTAAAAGCTGCTTCACCTGGCTTGGTTCTGATTCTGGGAACACTGAGTGAACCTGTCCCAGATCACCTGAGGGTCTGGATGCTTCATATGGTACATGTAGATCAGAGATGTGTTTGGGCCTGAGATCATTTAGTGCTTTACAGACCAGTAGTAGTAAAAATCTGTTCTTTGACACACAGGAAGCCAGAGTAGTGATTTAAGGACCAGTGTGATGTGCTCCACTGTCTTGGTGTTAGTGAGGACTCAGAATGAGCTGCAGCTGTGTGATAGTCAGAGCCTGAGGCATAATGTTTTTGTGTTGTCCGTCGCATTCTCGTGGACACGATATCTCAGTAACGCCGTGACAGAACTTCCTCAACTTTGGCACAAACATTCACTAGGACTCAAGGATGAACTAATTAGGTTTTGGGGGTCAAGGTCAAGGTCACAGTGACCTCAGAAAACACTTTTTATCCATTACTCAAGATGCAATTAAGACATTATTTCACACAAATGGTTCATATTTTCTATGACTCTGGATAAACAGGGATGTAACCTGAAACTAGTCTGAGTGGAGGAGGCAGACACCAGCGAGGAGGTGATTCTAGTTTTACTAAGACCTGGGAAGACACCATTACAATAGTCAAGCCTGCTGAATATTAATTATTTAATTGATAATAATATATGTGAATAATATATAATATATGTGTTCTGTAGCAAAATGGTAGTCTTATATATTTTGATCCTACCAGACATGAAGACGTGTGCATCAGTTAGAATGTGCTGTATACTTGATGTGAACAAACCCTGTATAAATTTGCTCAAGTCATATGTCAATAATTGGTCATGCTGCTGGGACGCCTGAAGGTTCTGGTGCAGGTCTACCGTCCATCGTTGTGGGCTTGAGAATAGACAAGGGTGTGGTCTGGTCCTGAGTCAGTAGTCCTCCCTATGAAGACTTGCCTACAGTGTCAATGAGTGAAACGCTAGTTGGATTCATGATCTGTTTGCCTTGTCTACCATGTCTCAGCCTGTTAACCTTTCGTCTCCAGCATGGCTGTGCTTTCCACGTGGATGAGGTCCAGACCGGAGGGGGGACCACAGGGAAGTTTTGGGCCCATGAGCACTGGGGCATGGATGACCCTGCTGACATCGTGTCCTTCAGCAAGAAGCTTCTGACCGGCGGCTACTACCACAGGGATGAACTACAGGCTGATAAGGTGCAGTTCACATAAAGATTTCTCCAGTGGGACTCAGACCTCAGACTGTATTGATCAGTGAAGTGAGGTTTAATGTTTAGGGCTGAAGGTTTCAGGGGGTGGGGCTATAGCCACTGAACACAGGGTCAATAACATCTAAAATGTGTCAGTCAGAGCAGTAGCTGCTTCCACAGCCTTCAGTCTTTACTGCAGTTTCTTAGAATACAAACAAGCATCAACCTCCGAAGCTGGAAAATGAAGCCAGCACTGAAGAACCAAAAGCTGCAGTTCCTTTAATGACCACTAGAGTCTGGCTCCAACAGTGAGTCAGTCCCCATAGACTCCCATGTTAAAATGTCCAACTTTACAGCAGAAATAAACATGTTTACAATCTGGTACAAAAACAGTTCTGATCTCTAGAGCTAATTTCCTCCTTCATGACACCTGTTTATATAACTCACCTGTTTACATTTTATTAAGGCCTAAAGTTATGGAGAATTGAGGGTGTGGGCTCTTTGAGTGACAGGTGGGTGAGTGTATGCTTGCAACAAATCATGAACCAAAGTTTCATCTCCACATACTCCCCTCCTCTTTGACCATTTTTGGATTAGCTGGTAGTTAGGGGCCAGAGTCAGACACTGCCAAGATGGCGATGGTGGAGCAGCTCACTCTCAGCTTCAAATCCACTCTTCAGAAACCTGTGGGTGACGTCACAGAGGCTATGTCCATCTTTAGTTACAGTCAATGGTCACAGAGTGATGAGAATCCTCAGCAAGAAGTAAGAGGCTCGTTCCTCATCATTCGACAGTTTCCTCTGGAGACAAAGAACATCCAGAAGACCAGTGCTGTCTATCTTCAAATCTTCATGTGCTGCTATAAATCCCCTAACGCTTTTTGTGCCTGTCCCTTTAATCAGCTGTGTTCTCATATTATTGATGTGTTTGAACCATCTGTGACAAAACATGGACTTTACATCACTGCAGTCTCATCTCTCTGTCACTGGACTGTTACTTTAAAAGGTGTTTATGTGGTGATTGTCATTATTAACAGGTCTCTTTGTGTCTGTTGTCTGTTTCAGGCGTACCGTATCTTCAACACGTGGATGGGAGACCCATCAAAGAACTTGTTCCTGTCTGAGGTTCTCAATGTGATTCGCAGAGAGAACCTCCTGGAGGAGGTGACCCGGTCTGGGAGAACCCTGCTAAATGGTCTCTATGAGCTACAGGTAGTGTGTCTGAGGTGGTCTACTGTAGACAGCTGTGATAACTACATACCATGAGAACAGACTCACTGTAGTTTCCTTGGATCGTGCTTGGTGTGAATCTGACCTGAATGTGTGTGAACATGAACCTCCATGTGATTGGTCCTCAGGCTCAGTACCCCGGCATCCTGAGCCGCGCTCGAGGTCAGGGGACCTTCTGTGCCATCGATGTCTGTGATGATCCAACACGCACCAGCATCTTACTGAAGGCCAGAGACAAAGGTATGAAGGACATGACCGTCCGCTCATGTTGATGTCCCACAGTTCAGTTCAGAGTATGGTTCTGCAGGTTAGCTGCTGCACTGGGAATACACTGAGCATGACACACTGACAGCCCCTCTCTTCCTCTGGATCCTGAGTGAAAATGACACTGCTGTAATTAATTGTTAATTATGTTAACTGTGTAAAGGAACAGGTAAGCTTTAAGTGGGATTTTAAATGTATCTACAGATGAGGTCTGTCTGTTAGTAGACAGCTGCTGAGTGTTAACCTGAGGGACAGCTAATAGACCGACCCCCTCTGGTTCTAGAGGGTTCATGACTAATTAACAACTGAGAACTGGATTTAGGGCTACAGCTGTTTGTCTGCATTAAAAAACCTTAAACCATGTTAACATCCATATGATGTTTTTATATAATTCAAGACATATCATGAGTGAAATAATCAGTCAACTGGACTCAAGGATGAACTGATTAGATTTTGGTGGCTAAAGGTCAAAGGTCAGGGTAAGGGTGACCTCACAAAACACTTTTTAGCCATAACTCAAGACTTCACACATCAATTGTGACAAAATCTCACACAAATGGTTCATATTTTATATGACTCAGCCTCGGGGAAAGTATGAACTGAATTAACCTGAGCAAGATGAATTCGCTGAGATGACAGTTGTTTTATCTGCTGACGTCCACGTGAAGGTGGCTGACGGACAGTGTTTGTCTCTAACAGGTGTCCTCCTGGGAGGCTGCGGGGACCGATCCATCCGTTTCCGTCCAGCGCTGGTCTTCAAGGAGTACCACGCCCACATCTTCCTCAACATCTTCAACGACGTGTTGGCCCAGCACAAGTAGATCCTGACCCCGAGGGAACCTGAGTTCATCCAGACAGGGGGAGGGGGGTGGGGGACTCCAAGACCGCCAATGCCATGATAAGCACAATCCACACAATAACTCACACAGATGTCACATAAAACCTCCGATCCGAGACCCAGGGCCAGTTTCTTACAGACAAGGCCAGTCTTCATCCTCATAGCCAGACGTGATAATGGTGATGTCCTCTTACCTGTGCTGCCATTCAGATGCTCCCACTCACAACAGGGTTCATGTTTCTGTAAGACAAATCTATTAAAATGTCTCCACCTCATATGTAGACTGACTAGACTAGCAGTACTCAGGATGAAGTCATCTAGCACCTTCTGTCTCACACTTTCCTGCCTACATCATTGCTCCTTGGACTGGATGATGTTGATACTGTGATTCTTACTGAAACATCACACGACCACATTTCTCAAAATGTAGCAGTTTGATGTTCAGACTACGTCATGCGACATCTCTTATTCAGTTTAACCCGTCCAGCCAGCGTCACCTTCAGTTGATACAGCTACTAAAATCAGCTGATGAGGTATTTTTTTTATTCTGCAAGTCAACTTAAAATACCCTGTAAAGCTCTGCTCATCTCATCCAATGTTTCTGGGTCTGGCACAGAAAGATGACGTCCCCATTTTTGATCTGGCCTACGGAGCTCTGAGTAGTTAAGAAGGAGCTGTTAATGCAGACACACACCAGACCTTGTTGAATCACTTCATGAATCTGAGAGTCTGAGGTTCAGAGGTCTGGAACCAGGTTTTTAATGTGGCTCTGTTCCTGGTGCAGGTAGCACAGCATTATATTAATGTAAATAAGATCCCAACTCCTAATGAAACTTAATTCATGTATGCGCTCAGGTTAGGGTCAAAAAAGGTCAAACTGTACACCTGTACAATAAATCATTGTCCATCTTGAAAATCCTGAGATGAAGGTAACAGAACCACCTGCCCGCTGACTGGACTCACTGCTTTGTGATTGGACTATCGTCGTCCAATCAGATTCAGGTGTGAAAACAGGGTCAAAGTTCACACTTGTTACCTCATCATCGCAGTGTTGTGAGTGTTACACAGTGTTACGCATCTTTGTGTCTTTGTGTGACCTCACCACTGACATCATCGTCAGATTTTATTCACACAACGACAAATCTTTTCTGCACGTGCAAACGATTTATTTTACAGGTTTAAATGTTGATTTATAAACGACACATCGTACAAGCTCAGAACCTTTTTGACCCTAACCTGAGCCCGTACTCACCTCAGAACAAAGTGTTGCGTACAGTTTCTGTTAGTGCTCATGCTTCATCCCGCCGCCTGTCTGACTGACAGTCCCTGAGCTGATCACAGGAGACTGTGTTCGCTTGGAGGAGGACACACGACCCTGTGTCAGTGATGACTGTGTGTAGGAACACACACACACACACAGCTGAGACGCCAGCCTGCATGTGATTTACTGCTGCCCATTAGAGATGTCCCTGTACTTATTCTGACTGTTGTGTTGCTCTTCATAGGAATGACTTCTCAGCTTGAAATGTTGTCGCCCAGAAAAATGTGAATCTTATCTGGACCATGAAAATGTCATAGATGATTTAGTGCCTGCATGTTAGTCAGTGCGTGTTTCTTTTCTCTGCTGCTGGCCATCACTAACCTGAACCTGTAACACATTCACTTTACTCTTGAACAAGAGCTTCATATCTAAACTAGTACTACTGCTGACTATGATTTCATATTCAACACAGAGAAATAGTGTTGTTAATAACTAACTAGTAGCCAATCAGGATTGTCACGAGCCTCTTTGGGACACTTAAAACACACTTGGAGTAAAGCACAGAACTCTCCTCTCATTACTGCCCCTGACACCACAGGGCAGTGAACTCCCTCAGGAGTTTACAGCAGTGGCTGTTTTTTTTACCCTAACGACCACAAGGGGGCAACAATGAGCCACGTTCTACACCTGAAAACAAACTGAGACATAAAGGTGAGCTTTGTGTTTTACCTGAAGTGTTTTCAGACAGTATGGTTTGGTTATTTATATGTCTGGTTAACTAGAGCAGCTTGCTACCCCGAGCGTCTCTATGGAAACCAGACATAAACCAGCACAGCTCATACAGACATGTTAGGACACAAAGACACAAATCTTCTGAACATGTTCCATGTTTCTGTTGTAAATCCTGAGGCTGATGTTCTGCTGACTGTGTAGAACACTTCAGAACTCATCAGTGTTTGTGAATGTTCCATGGAGCTTTTAGACAAGTGTTAGGAATGCGTACTACTCCTAGATTTAATGATGATTTAATGAGGTCAGGAGGGTGTCAGGGCTGAGCAATACGACAGTGGTGATGATGATGATGATGATGATGATGATGATGATGATGATGATGATGATGATGATGATGACACCAGTGCTCGTCTCCTCGTTGTCACTCAGTATTACATAGAGTCTGTGATGACCCTCTTTAATTATTTGCACCTGTGATCTGAGGTAGATCATGATTGATGTAATTATTTTAGATGGCTCTAACTGTCGTTGTCCATGTCCTGTGATCAATAAATGAAGTTTTGACTAACTCACCAGAGTTTTTATTTCTTGACTGGAAAAGGATCTTTCATGTTTTTTGGTGACACTGTTGAATGAAAGAAGATTCCTGTAACTGATTAATATTAATTACACAGATAATTAGAAAAGCTCTATTTAAAATCAATAGATATTCATTCACTAGGCTACTGGTTTAATATGAATAAATATATAAGCAAAGGCCACCAGTGCATTTATATAATGAAAAACTGGTGTCCTGGCTAATGGGATCTTTGGTAAGAAAACACACATACAGACAGACTGTGTGCGTGCGTTCGTGTGTGTGTGCGCGCGTATGCTGTATGCTCACAAACCATTGGATACCGTCTCACAGTGTCAGTGTCCATGTTCCTTCAGAGTCATGTGATCATGTGATGTCTCAGTTCTGTACAGCAGACCTCCATGCTCCTGGATAATATCTAATGTCTTTATTGATTCCTCCAGCCGTCCGGTTGTAACTGAAGGACTGTCTGTCCATCACAGCTGGACTGTGTCAGGTCCACTTTCTGTATGTGTGTGAGTGACGAGTTGTCCATATTCACCTGATGTGACCCACTGAGCTCTGATAAACCTGACTGGGAGCTGGGTGCTGTTCAATAGTTCAATAGTTCTGATCCCAGAGGTTTCTGCTCTGGGATTAATTCTCATATTTAAAGCTTGATCTCTAAACTCAGTGATTTGGGGTAAATGTGTATCTTATCATCAACAGTAGAGTGTAACTACACCACCACCAGGATCTGATCTAAATGAGACCCAGGTGATAGGGACTACTTCTCCTGTAGATATAGTCTTCAGTTCCCTGAGCAGCAGTGACGCTGTGTGTGATGTGTGTGAGAACTGTGACGACACCACAAACCTCGTTAATCCTCTGAGATTTAATGACAGAACAGAACATGATGAGATCTGAGACAGACTTCACTCACAGTGTCAGCATCATCCAGCTACAGAGAGAGTTTATCACTGGCACTGAGCGTGGGACAGAGACTCTCATCCTTGCAGCTTCAGTTTGTGTGTACATGTTCAGCATCTGGAGTTCACCACATTCTTAAAACCACTCAGATGGATATGAATAAATATACCTGATCATTTTCATGTTAAACAGCTGCTGAGTTCATCTTGCAGTGAGATGTGTCCCTGCAGCTCACATCAGTTCAATAACCCACTCTCATTAGTTTGGACTGACAATGACAGATTATTTCAAAATAAAGGTATTGACTGGATTGAATCTTTTATTATGGTATCTATTTATCATTATGTATGAAAATGTATAAACTGTAGATTCCTCTGTGTGTTTTGTGTCAGTATCAGTATCATATTGATACCAGCCAGGGGTTTACATGGTATTGGATCAGAAGCAAAGTAGAGGTTTCTGACACAACTCTCCTTTAACACTTGAAGTAAACAGAAGAACTTTATCTAGACTGACACATGTCAACTTGTTGCCTTCATCAGGGTCATCATCGTACATCACAAGAAACATTTAAATAAGGGCAGTATGAAACAGATTAAATATATAACAGGCAATCATATGTGAACACATACATATCTGCCTGTGGGGCGTCTACAGAGAGTTGGGTTGGAACTACGGTCATGTGGCTTCAGGCCAATCATTGTCTCAGGCTGGTGAGGAATGTCCAATAGAGGACATGGGTGTCACCGTGTTTAGTTCATAGACAGGAGAAGGGTGGTGCTTAAGATTGTACAAAAGGGACATTGTCCCAGAAAGGTTAATCTTAAGTGATCATTTGATGTGGCATAAACCCACCCGAAAAACACTTAGATTCAAAAGTGCTATATATGTGAAAGGCAACATGATGCAACTTAAAAAACTAAATCATACTAAGGTCATCATAAAAATACACAAATATACATAAATACATCAAAATACAGATAACTGAACAATACAACACTATGAAAAATATAAATATTATAAAAACTAACACTATAAAAACCTGTTAATTGAGAAATCCTCAGTCATGCCCCCTGAAAAATAAACTTTTGAGATAAAAAAATCCAGAACACTTCCCTCTTCCTCCTGAGAGAATCAACATCAGCACCTCTTTGTCTAGGCTTAACACTTCTATGCCAATAGTAAAAAATTGAGATGACGTGATGTTTTCATTGAAATGTCTTGCAGCAGTTATTGGTTAGTATAATTTCTCTTCTGAGAGCTTCTGTGTTCAGTGATGCGCCCTTTTATTGCTCACTTAAATTTTCCCTGTTCTTTTCAAACATATTCTCTCTGACTCTCAAAAGATATGTCAGTTTTCCTATGATGACAATGTCTGGAACAATTTCAAGGCAATTTCTTGATTTGGAGCATTTGCAGTTTTCTTACTTGCTGTGAGTAGAACTTTGGTCAGGTAGAGATCTTCTCTCATCATGGTACCATTAATGTTCCCAAGATACATCACAGGTATTTGGAATTAGTGTTAGGTCATAGTGTTAGGGTTAGGGTTAGCAGCAAGTTGCGTGCTTTTTACTTTGGGTGTTAAAAACAGGTTAAATTCTTCCAGCAGAATTCCCTCCACACTAGTGAGTTTGTAGGGATGTGCTCTTTAAGAGAACAGGATGTTTCACCTGTATTTTGCCACATGGGCAATGTATCATGTAAACAACATTTTTCGTTTAACTGGTAATAAAGTCCTTGATGTTAATATCCTTTCCATTGATAGGTTGGTTAAAAGATTCGATTTTTAGTATATTGGCAATTTATGCAGGCTCCAGACTTAAAGTTGCCTTAGAGAGTTTTAGTTGTGAGGTTACTTCACTTTGCTGACATGCATCTTTAAAGGGATGGGTGATTTTGAAGGATATGAATGTCAGTGTTTTAAAATCATGTCCTTAGCTTTAGGTATGAACGCTATGCAGTAAGTGAGATATTTGGCTGTTTTATATTTTTTTTATGTCTCTTACTTTCCTTACTTAAATGTTACGTGTGATGTGTTGCATGGTATTGGATCAGAAATCAGTGCCATCACACATCACTTCCGGAAATACGTCACACAAGTGGCTCCTGAATTACACTGGAGGAGAACTCGTCCTCCTCCCCCATCCTGAGCCTCACCCATCGGGAAAGAGCTGAGGCAGAGAGGGAGGGGAGGAGCCATGGCGCCTAACGGAAGCTAGGACGAGAAAATCAAAATAAAAGCTGTACGTTATCTATATCATGCAGGGGGACGTGCCCGCTTCGTCTGCCGAGATACAGCGAAGTGTTTTCAGCTGTGTTCGGCTCGGATCCCTGCAGGTCCACCTGAGACGCGGACCCGGACCTGGTCCAAAGCACGAGCTCCCACAGAACCGGACAGGAAAAGGAGCGCACATTGATAGAACGGCAGAACGGAAATGTAACGTGACCGCTGTTGTCGTGGGACGCGTTTGCGTGACAACGTGGCGGTTAACAGCCAATGAGAATGTGTCATAAATTACTGTCCTTCCACATCCCGCTTCTTATTGGCCAGAGTCCCCGTCAGGGCACTGGAGATTGGCTAACTCAAGAACAGGGCCCGCCCCCCTGAGGCGGGTATTTAAAGGTGCAGAGTGCCAACGCGGACTGACCTGCTGCTCACTCACTACGAAGATAGGTGTCGCGAGAGGCCGCCGGACGCTGGTGAGTTCACGTTTTCTTATCTGTGTGAAGCTTTAGGAGGTAAACTGGTCTCCAGAGTGTGAGGCTCAGCTGATGAACCCCAGCAGCCTGGAGGTGGACTGGTGTAGACTGATTTAGACTGAAGTAGATTGATGTGGACTGATGTGAACTGCAGGACTGAGGGTGGACCACAGGCTCTGTGTCATCACTGTGGTGCTGTTAATGTGATGTTCTGCATTATTATAGTGTCGATGAGAGCATGTGTGTGGATGTTACACCGTCCCTCAGGGTCAGGGTTCACTTGTCCACAGAGACCCTGTCAGTGGTCTGAGGTCTTCACCCTGACAGTCCAGGTGGATCCTCAGGGATCTGGGTCTGGATCCTGAGCTTCTACATCCACAGTTGGAGCAGGATGTTGGTGTGGATTTGATGATGACATGCTCACAGTTAAAACACACAGGGTCTGGTGCTGAATCAGCAGCTTGGAGTGGAATAATTACACCCAGATGTGATTATTGCTCATGGATGCCATATTTGATAACAGGACCTGCTGCATGTGAATACGTTGAAGCTGTAGAAAGTGTCCGACTGTTGTCTGTGTCAGAGACAAGATCAGAATTGTGCACAACACATCATCTTCTCAGTAGACTCAGTAGACAAAAAGTAGACCCCTCCCCTCACCACCCTGCTTTGAACTGCAGGCTCAGGAAGAGGCTGGTCTGAAGAAGACGTGGTGAACCCAGCTGAGTCTGAGAGACCTGTACCCTGTGAGGAGGTGAGACCCAGTGTGACTCTCTGACCTTTAGGAGGCGCTGTAGCTTTTAAATGAAAAACACAGCTGCACACCTCCTGCTCCACCAGTCCGTCTGTTCAAGTCTTAATGTTTGATGCTTCAGGTATTTTAAAGTTCTGGTCTGATGTGGTCTGAGCAGTCTGTATCTTCTCTCTCCACTTGTCCTTCCAGTTGATCATGATGCTGCTTCGGTCTCTAGCATCCCTCTGCATCCTGGCTGCTGTTGCCTTTGCAGTCCCTGCTCAAGAGAAGCGCATCCACCACCACGCTGATCTGAGCGACCACGCCCACGACGATGCTCATGGCTTCCAGTACGACCACGAGGCCTTCCTGGGCAAGGAGGAGGCCAAGACCTTCGACCAGCTGACCCCTGAGGAGAGCAAGGACAGACTAGCGTAGGTTTCTCTGACTGCTGCCTCAAACGGTGTTTCTATGCATTTCTCCTGCAGACATATATGTCGTCAGGGTGTGTAGGTCAGGGTTTGGGATCTGTTTCCTGAAACACAGACGGAGCAGATTATTTCACTGTTATGGGTTAATGTTTTCACAGTCAGAAAAACTTTGATCCTGCTCAGAAACTGCTTTGTTCCAGCTGACTCAGGTAGGAAAGAGGAGCAGATAAGTCAAAAGTATAAACTACTACAACATAGTAATAATAATAACTACGCAGTGAGTGAATAGAAAGATGTGCAAAAAGTAATGTGTGTGAATTGAATCACAGCACAGACAAAAAAAAAAAGTAAAATGTGCGAAGTAGATTAACAGTAACGTAGTGGCTATTTGTCTTGAAACAAATTTAAATCCAACATAAATCAAAAAGCCACTTTTGCACCATGGGAATGTGGTTTACGCAGGCAAAAGAATCCACTCTGCAAACTAATCCTTTGCATTCTTCTTGAGATTTATTCATTCAAACAAGCAGCAAACAGAAGAAGAAAGGGCTCATGTTTCCTGCTGCCTCTCAATAGGTCCACCCAGGTGCATGCTGGTCCTAAACCTGTCTGACTCCTTAAATAAGTATCCATAGTGTTACCCAAATAAACTAAATGCTAGTGAACCAAAACTATGCTAAACAATCAAATACTATAAAGAAACTAATGACGGACAAAAGAGAATATTATCAAAAAATAAAACAATTTAATTAAACTGATCCAAACTCAGAACAGATGAATAAATAATAGAAAAACCAACAAACAAAATGGCTCCTACAAGTAATGTGAGTGTAATGTGCAAGTAAACCGATGAAGTGTGGCGTCTCCTCCTCCTCCTCCAGACTGGAGCTCTGGAGAAATCAATTGGGTCTTGTTTGTTTTTTTTTTACCTTCTAAACCTCACCCAGAACCCTGACCCCCAACCTCTCCCAACAGGAAGATCGTGGACCGCATTGACACCAACAAGGACGGCTACGTTAGCCACACAGAGCTGCACTACTGGATCAAACACCGGCAGAGGAGGTACATCGAGGAGAACGTCAACAAGCACTGGAACGACTACGACAAGAACCAGGATGGCAAGATCGCCTGGGAGGAGTACAAAAACACCACCTACGGCTTCTACCTGGGTAATTCTGACTGATGGTTCTCCATCCTGACATGTCTTCGTCTTTCCTCTATTCTTTACCATGTGTTTACTTCTTCTTTACATCATCTTATCATTTCCTCTATTTCTATGTGAGCTGGAAGCTGATTATAGTGTTGCCATGACAACATGTGTCCTACAGTGACGTAGGACCACAACATCTTTTCTCACCTGTGCTCAGGTTATAGAACACACACATGAACCAGCTCTACCTGCTGTAGAATAACATAAGAATAACACAGTGTCCTCTTTAATTCAGGTAAACAGTTCATCCATCTGAAAACTGAGGACTACCAGAGCCCTGAAAACTGAAGCTTGTGCTGTGTTTCAGATGAGGAGTTTGATGACATCGAAGACAAGGCCACCTACAAGGCCATGCTCACCCGGGACGAGCGCCGCTTCAAGAACGCTGACCGAGACCGCGACGGCATCGCCACCCGAGAGGAGTTCACTGCCTTCCTGCACCCCGAGGAGTTTGACTACATGAGGGATGTGGTTGTGCAGGTGGGACCTAGTTTCTGATGATGTATTGTTAGACATGCTGGTGATCTTCTGATTAAAAACATGACTAGACAACTTTCTTTACCTGGGGCTCAAAACACAAATCCTGATCAAAAAGTTTTCTATGATTTGAGTTCTTTTTGCGAGTGGACCAAGCACGATGACCTCAGATTTCATATGATGTACATCATATACATCATGTCATATTGTAAACCATGTTCTCCAGTGGAAGCTGCAGCCTCTCTGCAGACTGCTGTGTTGTGTCCTTTAGTCCAGTTCCCATCTTGGTATGGAGCCTTTTAGTTGTCTCTTTAAACATCTGCCTTACAGCTGTGATACTGTTCATATAACAGAACTGAATAACTCTCTTTCAGGAAACTGTGGAGGACATTGATAAGAACGGAGATGGAAAGATCAACATGGATGAATACATTGGTATGTAACTCTGTTTCCCTCCAGCCAGCTCCTCCTCCACTGCTAAACTGGAGGTGACCTGTCCTGAATCTGTGTCTGCTGCTGCTCCACAGGTGACATGTACTCACCTGAGAGTGGGGAGCGTGAGCCTGACTGGGTCCAGACGGAGAGGAAACACTTCTCAGACTTCAGAGACGCCAACAAGGTAAAAGCTGCTCATCAGTCAGCGGCATGAGGTCATCTCAGGTCAGAGTGACACTGTAGCTCACAGCTGTCAGGTGACTGGTGGTTATTTACCTGGGCGGGGTCAAGGCCGGACTCAACAAACACAATCAACTGAGGACTGACTACAACTGATTAGATTGGGTAGACAGGATTTAATGTCAGGAGGCTGTGGGAGTGAGCCGACAGAGATTTACAGAGAGTCTGAGCTCATTGTTTATCTGTTTACTGTTCCACATCCAGCTGTTTTCATAGAAACATCTGTAAACAGCCTCAAACAGCGGACAGACTCAGTTACAGAGCAGCTGGTGAACACAGTGGAACATTTAGCAGCTAAAGAGCCAGAGATTTCCCTCAGGAGCTGGTGGAGGCACATAGAGTCCTGCTGCCCTCAAGTGGCTGAAATCAGTTACTGCAGGTTTAAAACTCCTGTCATCTAGTACTGGGCCCAGTTGCACAAAACACCTTAAGATTTTCCTTAAAGTGTGAGTTACGGTTTCCTTAAAATAAAAGCATTTGCACAAAACACCCTTAAGTTTCCTTAAAATGTTCACTGAAGTTTTCTCCTTAACTTAGTCTTATATTTAAGGAATCACTTAGAGTCAGTTAAACCCTTGCACAAAAGACCTTAGTGACCAGAGTAAGGAGAAAAAACTAAAGGTATCTCTGACTCTATCTTAACTGCAACATGACCAAGGTGTCAGCAGCCGCTGTCAGAGAGGTGGAACATGTGTGTGGAGCCTGCACTGGTGTGAGGGTTAACAGATGTGTGAATGTGTTTGTCTCACTGTGCCTCTTCTTTCTCCTGCTCCCTGCTGAGCGTCAGTTACAGTGTGTGTGTGTGCGTGTGTGTGTGTGGGTGTGTCGTGCAGGACGGGTACCTGGATGGTGATGAGGTGGCCCACTGGATTTTGCCAGGAGAGGTCGACCATGCTGACAACGAAGCCAAACATTTGATTCACGAGACGGACACTGACAAGGTAGACCTGATGCTGCTCAGCCCCTCTGATACACACAGGGTCACACCATAGACACTGAACCACACACCTCACACTGATCCTGTATCAATACCTGATACCTGACGTTTTAGCTTCCGCATTAAAACCACAGCAGAGAAGTGAAAGCACAGGTAGTTAACTTTACATCTTCAGTGGGTGGTGATGCAGCTGCGAGCAGGGAGCGTTCAGAGACGCTCCAACATGTGAAACAGCCGAAAATCTGTTTATTTATATAATATACTGACAGTTTTTGAGATTTTATTCTGAAAGGGATTAATCAGAGACCAGCTTCCTGGAGGGCAGTTCAGTAATTAAACTATATAAACTTAAAGGACAAGGAGTCTCATGTGCAGCCAGACCAACAGTGACTGTCTCCCACTAACAAGACCTGGACCTGTATCAGACCCAGATAGATCTGGTTCCTCACATGGTCCTTAATCTCACACACACACACACACAC